TTTTCTTTACCATGGAGAGGATCCTCCGATCTTCCACCAATGTTGTCCTCCGTGGACGTCCAGGCCTTTTTATGTTGCTGAGCTCACCAGTGCGTTCTTTTTTTCTCAGAATGTACCGAACTGTTGATTTGGCCACTCCTAACGTTCCTGCTATCTCTCTGATGGATTTGTTTTGATTTTGAAGCCTAACAATTGTCTGTTTCACCTGCATGGAGAGATCCTTTGACCGCATGATGTGGTTCACAGCAACAGATTCCAAATACAAATAGCACACTTAGAATCAACTCCAGAACTTTTACCTGTTTAATTCATTTAGAAATAATGAAGGAATAGCCCACATCTGTCCATGAAAAGGCTTTTGAGTCAACTGTCCAATTACTTATGTCCCTTGAAAAAGGCAGGATGTACATGATGAAGAGCTGTAATTCCTTAATCCAATTGTGATGAGAATACCATCAAATTAAAGCTGTGTGCACTTTAAGCCCATATTCATTATATAACTGTAACTTGAATATGTTTTGGTCAACAGCTAAAATAATAAAACTTGTGCCTGTGTCCAAATATATGTGAACCTAACTATCACATGAGATTTGTTTATTTTACACTTTTGCACCTTTTTTTTTAGCTTAAAAATGGTAACTATGCACTGCCATTAAATAGACAAGTATATATGCTGCATGTCAACCAGAGCTTCACAGGTCTGAACACTCAGATTCAAAACTCCAAAGTAGTGAAAAGTTGTGATTTTAAACGTACCTTGTGCTTCTGTCCCTGATAATCCATACATTTTTATCACATTTTGTTGTGTGCGATATTTAGCTAAATGACACAGAAGATAATTAATGAATAACATTTGTAGAGCATCAATTAAAATGCAAATCAAAGATCACAAAATAAAGACCATTTTTTAACTCCAGGGACCAGTTGCATAAACTCTTTAGACTAGTCTTAAAAAGTTAGTCACCTGTTCTTTTCTCTTCAAGACTGGCCATAACTTTTTTAATTCAGTTATGAAAAGGTAGATTGTTCTTATTTGTACTGGAAAAGTAAGACTGATTACCCCTTTGGCAACTGCTAGTTGGTCAAACTAGTTCTTAAGACACAGTCTTAACATGGTGGCTAAGTTTATGCAACTGGCCCCAGATCTTCTTGAATCTAACTGGCGAAAACTATGTCATTATTGTTGCACATCTGGGAAACTCAAAGCCATATCATATACATATTTTGAGGTTATGAACACCTATATGTCTTACCCTTATTTCGTCCTTGGCAAATGAAGTAAAAGGCAACAGCCATTGAGATCACCACGATAATAGCACCGATGGTGGCTAAAATAACTGGTAGAATGATATTCTCATCTGTTTGTGGAATACATAATTACAAGAACATAACAATAAATAATCGTAACCCAGATTCATCATAAACGCTGTACTTCAGCCAGAAGTTATTGTAATGTGCATGAAGTTGACCTGTGAGGCAGTCTTTCAAAGCAAAACTGGTGCTCTTTAGGCTAACTTCATTTTTCACAGTGCAAGTAAAGACTGAATCAGGCTTCTCCTCCTTGCTGATATGAAGTTCTTGTCCAGAGTGTTGTATCGAATTTGATCCAGTCCATTCAAAGGTTGTTTGGAACTGAGATGAAACGGAGCAGAATAGTGTTTTTGATTCTGTAATATTGTTCAGTATACAGGTCACATTAGGCTCCTGCACAGCATCTGATGGAAACATAGAGAATACGGGAAAAATATGTTTTTATAAAAACACGCTCAAGCTAAATAACATGGCTACAAGATGCTGAAATGTTTGAAACATATACCAACTAGTAGACTTGCTGGGCTTAAGATGGTTAATCATATTTATTTAGTGTAAAATTCTCAGAAATACCCATTATGTTTTGTTGCATTCTTTTGTCATACATAGAAGTCCAGCTTGATATTATTATTAGTAGTAATACTATTAATAGTATTATTGTTGCTGCTTATTTTGCATTGGTTAAAAAAGTGACTTCTTGGAAAGTCTAGAACTTTTATTGTTTAAACCATGTTTATACCATCACAATGTGATTCATTACATTCATCAACAGAATATGGCAGCATCTCAGGCTCTTGAAAAACCAGCATAGTTGGTACAGTATTTTGCATGCTAGTGTCCATTGCATGCTAGTAATGGCGAGCAGCATGATTATGCGGATATGCCAGCCAAGCCAACATTACTAACCAACAATATTGGTGTCTTTTTTCATTCTCCATTGCAAAAAGGCACTTACCAATAACTTGAACTTCATTTTCAGAATTTTGAAGCTTTCCATCGATCTGTATTGCAGACCTATAAATCCCACTGTCCTGGCTGGTCATGCGAAGAACAGAGAGCTGCCCAGTAGTGATTTGAATCTCTGATCTTCTTCTAAATTGACCATACTCTTGAAATTCGTTCAAATCATGTTCAGCCACCTTGTTACCATTGAATGTCCACAAAATGTCTTCAGGATTTCCTTGTACATTTGGATCTAAAGTCACACTCTTCCCATTCTCAACATAGATGATAGAAGTTACAGCATCTGAATAACATTTATAAGATCATGTTGCAAGGTTAAACATCTAAAACATACTCATCTAAAAGTTATCAACACAAGTTTTTTTACATTGAAAACGATAACCTCAATGCAATAGTGTATTAGCTTGTTTCCTAACAGGTCCTAAATACAATTTTGGCTGCTACTTCAGCCTTGTCTTTAACATTAGGATACTTCAGCAAAGACATGGATTTGTGGATACAGTCTAATTCAATGTTTGCTTAACCTGTACATGTTCTGAAGCACTTGTTATGCAACCCATAACGATTAGAACAGATTATCGAAAATAACTCAACTTTCAATATCATCTAAAATATGATGCAAAAAAACTATGGTCAGTTATAAACAACATTACTTACTGAATCTTGATAATATTACACAGACGAAAAGATGAAATACTTCCCCGAGCGTTTTCATTTTCTTTCACTTTCGTACTGTCTCAGCTGTTTCAGGTAAAACTGGTCCACCCACCCACCTTCAGGGAATCTGTAGTGAGACTCTAGCATTGAGTGGCTTTTGTGCATTTGCATCAGTCTGAAACTGTTTTTAAAACATGAATGGGTAGGCTATATGTAGATGGGCCTGTGACAGTTTTACCTCTGACTGCATTATTGTAAGTTGCCACACCTGAACTTCCTCAAAGGAAAAGGTATGTCATTCATATTTAAATAACGACCTGTTTATCCAGTCACACCAAGCTCCACCCCAGCTGTTAAAGCGATACTTCACTCAAAAATGAAAATTCTGTTATTACTTAACCTTAAATTGTTCCAAACCTGTATGAGTTTATTTCTTCTGTTCAACGCAAAAGAAGATATTTTGGAGAATATGTGTAACCAAACCCCACTGACACCTCATTGTGTCACCACTTCTATTACATTGTGACTTTAAACATTACATAACGTGAACAAACATTCATAAACACGAGGACAACAGAGCCAACATCAAGTTGGAAGGAAAATTCATTTACATTGTGTACAAATATGCAAATTTATTTACATGGCATACAAATCTGATGTCAATAAAAGTCTAGGCCTGGGGTGCCCAAACTCGGTCCTTGAGGGCCGGTGTCCTGCAGAGTTTAGCTCCAACTTGCCTCAACACACCAGCTGGTAAGTTTCTAGTATGCCTATAAGAGCTTGATTAGTTCAGGTGTGTTTAATTGGGGTTGGAGCTAAACTTTGAAGGACACCGGCCCTCCAGGACCCGAGTTTGGGCACCCCTGGTCTAGGCCCTATATCAGTCACAGACTCAAATCTGTTTGCATTATGGGAGAATTTCTAGAATTATGAACATTCAGCTACAGCTTTACAAACATCATTCATGTGTGGTAGCAGATCAGACAAGTTATATTTCTAAAGCAAAGGCTCAAAATTGATCACAAACAAAAGCACATTTATGTACAGGTTTGAAGCAGAGTACAAAACCAATTCACAAACCTAAACCTAGCATTACTATTTTTGTTGGTTTGGTGTGTGTATAAGTGGATTACACGGTAAATGCAAAATTATGTGAATTTTTTGTATTTTTTAAAAGCCTTTTAAAGACAACCTACTGTAATAGACCTTGTCAGGGTAGTGCAATATAAGAAAAGAGTCCAAAAAAAAAATGTGTATAAAATGTATATAATGAAAATCACGTGTTCTTTAACTTTGTAAAGACTGTAAGTCTATTCCTCCCAGCCTCATCCATAAAATTCAATATGGCGTCTATCTACCCTGACTTAGGTCTATACAGGGGTTGGCAAGTTTTTTTTTGTCAACGTTGAAACCTAATAATTCATGTTATCCCAGCATAACATTATCAGTAGGGTAGTGCAATATAAGAAAAGAGTCCAAAAAAAAATGTGTATAAAATGTATATAATGAAAATCACGTGTTCTTTAACTTTGTAAAGACTGTAAGTCTATTCCTCCCAGCCTCATCCATAAAATTCAATATGGTGTCTATCTACCCTGACTTAGGTCTATACAGGGGTTGGCAAGTTTTTTTTTGTCAACGTTGAAACCTAATAATTCATGTTATCCCAGCATAACATTATCAGTCACAGACTTGATTAATTGATTTGCAGACTGACAAATTAATAAAGCACAATTTTAAATATTTCTGAAGCAATTGTCAGACAATTTAAATGTGTTTTAAACATTTCAATCCTAAAAGTATTTTATTTTCAGGCTTAAGCTAGACTTTGAATCTCTTGATGTTGTAGTTCACCCGTCACTGTCATTATGTGGAATTTTAAAGAAACTGAGCTGAAAAATGTCAACACTGATAGCATAACTTATTTTGCACTCAAAGCTAAGAGTATCAAATACAACAAAACTGTAAGCTGCCATCCACTCAGTTGTGCAGCACAACTGAAGAAAAATGTACTTGTCTGAAAGCACCGAGCTAGCTGCTACTTTAACCTGCACTGCAGTTTCAGTGGTTTGTGATATGCAGTGGTTGCACACATGGTTTATCAGAGCTGCTGTTTACAGGCACAAGTTAATTCTCATACATTAATAGTATTTATAGCTTTGGCTATGAAAAAAAATGATAAACTGAAAGTATAGATTATCATGCAGCTGTGAGGGACTTTAAATGAAATACATTCATCTGTCTTGCTCATGTGCCAGTGTAAGATGTTGGCACTCGTGGCACTGGTTGCCAACCCCTATAGTAAAGCATCAAATGACTCAGAGTGATGTCAAATAATAATTAAAATGTTTGTCAGGAGTTGATTAGATATGAAATGTTGATCAAACAAGCAACCAAAATGCTTTTTTTAGATTTTGCATGTAACTTTGCAGTCAACAGAAAATTAGGAAACGTATAGGCCTATTGTACAGTAATATTTTTCCAAGTTTCTTAAAAGTGAAATGATTACATACTATTGTGAATGTATGTAATCATATAATTGATAAAAATGTAACTGCAATCTGATCATGAGCATTTTAAAACAACAATCTAATCGCAAGAAGGCACGAGAGTAAGGCCATTTTTTTCAGCCCACAGACAGTCTTTCTTCTTCTTCAGTTCAGGTTTCTTCTTGTGGCCCTTTCTCAACAACAATAGTATGACCAATACAAGAAAGCAAATCAGAGGAATAGCGATTGCCAATGTTATTCCCAATGGGTCTATCTGTTTTTCAGAATCACCTGTGGAAACAAATCAAATGTTAGATTGTTGCTTTCTGTAAAGGAAAATATATTTTATTGTTATAAAATAACATTCATAGTTTTGTATATGCATTTGATTTAATGGTTGAATGTGCTGTATGGTTTTTGTTTGTTTGTTTTTTATATCACACATGAATTATCCATACATGACAGATATCACTAAAATAGACTCTGGAAACAGCAAAAAAAAAAAAAAATATATATATATAGGGAGGCCCTTAGACAAACCACCTAATCAGAAAATGATTATCTGTACTTTTTACATATTTGGCCATTGAGTCAAGGCTTGATTGGATTGATACAGCAGCATTGTGCATATATGTACAGTATATAATTTGGCCAAACAGTATGTATGTATATATTTTCTTGCAAGCTAAATAAAATAGCATTTTTTTTACTGGTGCAGGAAGGCTCCTAAAAGCATGAGATGGACATACAGTATTTAACCTAACCATAACCTACTCTTAAAATTAAAGGGAGGTTGATATGAATGGTATACAGGCCCCTATGCCTAACCCAAGCCTGACCCAAAAATTAGCTCTAGACCTCACCCTAAAATCGGATTGGCTGTTAGGGATGTTGTTCCAGGAACATGTCCTACTTTGTGAAATTATGGTTAGCGTATGGTTGAAGGGATGTGAGCAGGCTAATTTAGTGACTAAAGCCTAGTGGAAATGATTAAAATAGTTAAAAACACGTAGAACATCTTACCTTCAGTGTGAACATAGATGGAGAGCTCTCCAGATTTATCTGAAGCAAATTTCTTCCAGGTGTTAGCAGTTAGAAGCCACTCCTCAACCTGACAGTAGTATTGCCCCATATCAGTGGGGTTGATCTGTGGCACAGTCAGTTTATAGTGTGTGGCAAGTGGTCGTCCAAACAGAAGATTTTTATCGCTAATTGCACTGTGTAAAGTACCGTCACGCCTGGCGGTGAAGATGGTGACTGGTCCTTCTTCCTCCTGAACCTTGAACCAGGTGACCTCAAAGACAGACTTATCACTGGATTGTGAGTCAATGACACAGTCAATGGTGAATGCAGTCTGATGATTGGTAATGTTAAATGTTCGGTTCTCCTTCTGAACATGCAGTTTAATTTCTGTTTAAATTAAACACAACATCAAAGGTCAAACAAGAAATTCAATTTTTCATCAAGGGGCAATATTTGCCCTTTAAATTGATTAAATTTATATTTTGGGGCATTTTTGTATGCATCCCCTTTTCATGTAAATTCTTAAATGTTTTCAATAAATGCAATTAGATTAATAAGACACAGGGCTGTTACCAATCATATGATATATGATATCAGTATCACCAAAAACATCTTTGCACTGTAGAGGTGGCACAGTAGCTACATCTGAATTGGTTTTTAAATGTATTTACATAGACTGTTTAATGGAGCTCAGAGATGCCATGAATTTAATGTTTTAAATATCAATTGAATATAGAAATACTAAATGGGGGGAAAATAATTATACTTTAAATATTAAACTAAAACCACCAGTAGGTGGTAGAAAGCCAATGATTCATTTATTAAATCCATTCAAAATGGCTGATTCACTCAGAAATTAAGCACATAACTGTCTTCATGAATGAGTCATTGAATCATTGACTCACTTGATACATTCAAAAATGTTGAATAAATCAGGAAAGAAAAAGCTGTGTTTATGGGAGAAGCAAAGGTTCTCTTATGATTCAGTTTGAAACTATTTTTCTTGGATAAAGCAAAAACAGTCGATACAAACAATTTTGTGTCTAAAATGGACATCACTTAATATTAACATAAATCAGCCTTATTTGCAATATATTAATGTATTTTTTTAAATACCATTATATAAAGTAGAAAATATTAATAATTCTATCAGGAGGACAAATGAGCTAAAGGCTGTACTAATAGGCCAATATAGTATTTCAAAACTGGACTACTACCAGACAGATGGCTACACTAATCAGCATCAAAAGTTAAGCCTGATTGGGCATGTTCCATTTGTTTCCACTGGCCCTCACAATCAAGTTGGTATTGCTTAACTCTGCACTGGTAGCTTCCATTATCACCTATATCAGAGTTTAATACAACCAGATGGAAAGTATCAGGTGTAGGTCTTCAGAAGTCTAACCTGTGCTTGTTGCTGGTTCTCTGTGTGTAGACAACTGTTATAAGAGTATGACAATAAATTAGTACTTATTCTGTGCAATTATATGTAACAAGGACACATACAAATAAAATACAATGTGACCAGGTTGGGTTAGTGGTAAGTTTAACAGTTTTTGGGGATAGGGTACTGAGTATAATATATATAAAATATTTGAAGGTGAATGTATCTTTTCAACATAATACACTTTGAATAAAAGACTGTATTTACCAGGTTTGTGTACAATCACAGCTAACGGGTTGGAGTTCTTCAAGGCTTTCTGTACATCCTTTTGATAGGCATCAACTTGACACTGGTACTGTCCTTCTTGTTGCTTGCTGGCTCTCGGCACCATGAGAATGAAATGAGTGTCTGACGGCTGTTGAATGGACAGCTGATAGTTTCTCTGATCTGCTCTCCAGTGTAAAATCTAAAAGAGCCTCTGGTTTAAATTACAGAATATAAATCTCACCGATTCGTTTGATCTCCACATTGCATGCTGTGGTGGTTTTGTGGGCAATCTGTGTCCAGGAACGGTCTGGGTCTTGGATCCACTCAATGGCTTTGCAGAAGAACTTCCCCTGGTCTGACTGCTGCACTTGAGGCATCTTCAGTCTGTAGGTTGTGTCCTCCACCTTATCCATGCTGATAAGACCAGCACGATAGCCATCCTCAAATCCAGCTCCTGGCTTTACAGTCAGATCTTTGTCCAGAGTAATGATTGGCCGGGGGATTTCATCCTCTTCACCATGAAGAAACCAGGTGACCGACAGATGAGTGTGTTGAAAAGTCTGGCTGGAGACCTGGCACTCAAGCTGAAGAGGATCACCTTCAGACAAGCTCTGAGAGGGAGAGCCAGAGTATGATGCCTCCAGGGTGTCTGCAATCACTGCGGATAAAACAGTCTTTTTTTTTTCTTTTTTGGCATTGAAAATGTATTAACAAAGTGACAAAAAATTATTGACCAATATGCATGTTTCAATGCCAATACCAGCATCTAGAGAACTGATACCAGCTGATACTACATCAGTGACTGATGGCTGATGCAGTCGTGTTTAATATAAATATAGCTTATAGCCAGTCACCTTCTTTTGGGATACATGGGGAATGTGAATGGGTGTTAAAAGGATGGATTTCTCTTTCAATAATCTCAAAATGCCAGATAATCTCGTTAAACCCTCAAACCTTCAAAATAAATAAATATCTTACCATTAAGCTTTGTTTCTGCAGCATAATCTCCGTAATATGCACCACCTGTGTGTAGGGTCTCACAGAGCAAATCACCTGCATCATTCTCCAGCAAATTGTTGATTGTCAAGAGAACTGAAGATCCAGACAGCCTTTGAATATACATCTCTTTATTTCTTATTCTACCGGAGAACATTCCGTAGGCAAACTCTGGGTCACTGGTACTGATCATATTTAATTCCACATTTGGTTTCTTGAGAATGAACTGAAAATCCCGGTTAGATGGGCCTGTAAACCCTGTAACATTACAGGATATGGAGATGGGATATCCTTTCACTCTATACAGAGGACCTTCCTGGATCTGGACCTGAATCTGACCACTGCACAGATCTGTGTGGAGAGAGGAATTACATCATTAAAGCAAACCTTTAAGAGAAATTTCACTTTGATTTGCTATTGTTTTTGCATCTCACTCACATGCACATTGTGTTTACTATACCTCTGCCTGTATTTTTGTCCATTTCTAGGTGTTGCTGATTATCAATAAATTTCAGCTTTTCATTATTACTGCTGCCTGTGTTGTTACTGTAGTCATTCTGCATGTGTTAAAGTGATTTTTTTTTTCATTTACAACCCATTTTGGGTTCATTTTAACATTTTAACCCAGCAGCAGATATTTTTAAACATTTTTAAACTTTAAAAGAAAAAAAGCCCAGCATGCTGGGTCAAACATTTAACCCAACCCTGGGGTCAAAAGGACAAAACAACTCAGAACTGCATCTCTTGTTGCCAAAACACATTTTTCATACAACTCTGACAGAAATTTTGTCATGCCAATGCTATAATTTGATTGGTTATCAAGGCACACGTGATCCAAGTTCGTCATTTTCTCCAATGGTAGAACCACTGAGGTTTGTATGTCCACATAAGATGACCATTGCTGAATCCCAAATTGCATACTATCTGTTCTAAATAGTATTCAAAATTAGAATTAGTGCGGCCCAAATTGTAGTATGTTAAAATTAGTATTACAAACGTTCACAAATGTTCTAATATTTCTGGTGGAAATTCAAAATGCACATCCATGCATACTCTAACTGTTGGGTTCCCAAACCTGTCCTGCTCTGCACATTTTGTATGTCTCCCTAATCAGACACACCCAATTTAGTTCTTGCAGTCTCTACTAACGAGCTGATGAGTGGAATCAGGTGTGTTAGATAAGGGAGACATACAAAAGGTGCAGCGCAGGGGGGCCTCCAGGACAGGTTTGGGAACCACTAGGACTTTTGCACCCATTCAAGCCAGGGAATGATCACCCCCTGCTGGCCAGTCTAAAACCAGCTCCAGCAGCAAGCTAGTTTTTCACAACGGCCTACCAGCCATCAGAATGTGCTACCAGCTTCAAAAAGAAATCAAAAAGTCAAATTCGTAATTGAGGTGGGGAATTCATGACAACAGAATGAAGCTTTTGCTGTTTTTTCTTCTTTCAGTGATGCTGTGAATACTGTATATATTGTTTTCTATATATATATATACTGTATATATATTGTTTTCTATATATATATATACTGTATATATATTGTTTTCAATATATTTATATATAATTATTATTCTTTTGAAGAGTGAGAAGTCACCCAAAAATTGTCATCCTTTACTCATCTCTGTGTCCTTCCAAACTTGTATGACTTCCTTTACTGTGGAATAACAAAAGAAAGTAATTTAAAAAAATGTTGGAAACATGTCTATAGGGTAAGCTAAATATAGGCATCTGGACATATAACAGAAAACGAAACAAAAAAGTACCAGTCCTGTTTTGAGGGAAGAAATCAGCCAAGAAAATGTTTCATGTTTAGATTATTTTAATCAATTGAAAAAATAATAAAAAAATCTCAAAACATTTATTTTGTTACATTTGTGGTATGAAAAAAATAATAATTAAAAGAAGTTCACAAAAAAAAAACAGTTGATTCTGGGTTTAATAAATGAAGGCATTATTAGAAATTCTACGCAGCAAAGTGACATACTGGCACATACAGTATCATACCCTCCCACCTGCCCTATGCTGTTGAGGACAACGGCTTCTAAATTAGAGTAATATTATCATGCCATAGATATCATTTTGGCAAAAAAAGGTTAAATAAATCATGTCTAATATTTAGCTAAATAACATGATTATACACAATCCACTGGTATATACAACATTTACAACAGAAAATATATTAAAAAATATTTTCACACTAGGTGTCTTCATCATTTCTTCAGCATCCTCTCCTTCAATTCTTTTTGTTGGCCTTCAAGTTTTCATTTCAGTGTGACTCTGGCTCTGTTCCAAAACCTATGAGCTGCCTACCTGTCTGCTGCCTACATATCACATTGTTGTGGCAGATGAGTGATACACTGAGCAGACAAGAAGTGACTCTCAATATATTCTACCAAGCTCCAAAAAAGGACAAAAAAGCAGCATAAAATTACCATGAAAGTATGATAAAAGTTGTCTATACATCTCATGTGTTTTATTCAGTCACCTGAAGCCATATGATTGATTGGTGTAATAAACAAGACTGAAATTAAACATTTTCTAAAATGCTGCGGATCTCAATCAAATATGGCACTTCTTGAAGAATGACATCAGGCTGGACACCCATGACATCATTAAACATCACTTAATCAAAACTGATGTCTGGTAGCAAATTTGACTTGAGATTGTCAGTGTACAATATTTAGGTCTGTTCATCATATAACGATATCGTATGGCTTGTAAAGGAAAAGTATGCACAAGCCACTTGAATCACTTTTATAAAATTGTAATTTTGATTGATCTATTTCTATATAAAAAAAGACTCTACAAATCAGATGAAGAAAGCTTTAAAGCTCATTTAACGTCGATTTAAATACAAACCAAGCAAAGTTTTGTTTTTCCAGAAAAGGTTATAATCTGTATTTTACCTGTGTTCAGGCTGTCTATCTCTTCGTTTTCCTCTTCCTTCTCTTTTTTCTCTTCAGGTGTCTGGTCTTCCTCATTTTTATCTGCATCTTTAGTGTCCTGCTCTCCCAGTGTCTCAAGCTGCTCCTCAGGTGACTCCTCTTCATCTTCACTCTCATTTTTCAGTATCTGACTTTTCTCCTTTTCTTCTTGCGTTTGTAAGGATTTCTGGCTCTCTACTTCTGTGTCTGTTTCATCAGCTTTGCTGTTAGCATTTTCTTCTGCTTCATCTGCATTTTCGCTGTTTTTCTGATTTTTTTCTAGTTCTCCTTCAGCTGTGCTTATAAATGAAAAGTACTGTCAGGAATTGGTCACTTGTTGCAAAGTCCTGCCTATTTAAAAGGCTCGTCCAATCCTCAAATAAGAAGACAGGCTGCCATGCAAATTATACAGTATGCAAATATCGTTTGGTGAATTCCAGCTTCCAGGTGGAACCAAAAATGAAGTGCTTAGAGCCTTAGATGTTTGCCCCTTTGAAATCAATGGCTTAGCTATCCCTTAAACTTCAACTGAAGCAGATCACGAACAACACTTAATGAGGTATAACTTACGTTTACAAAAACATTGAAATGCAGAGAATATTAATATATAAAGGGATTATATATACAATGACATAATACATTTCTGATCAAATTTTTAAGGAAGTCAGACTTTCTGCGCAGTCAACAAGCAACTGCTAACTATAGATTCTAAAAGAACTGCTATTTCTGCCTTATAAGACAATTCAAAATTATATAAATAAGGATGTATAATTTAAGCTAAAGTACATAATGCAAAATTATATAACTTTAGTTTTGTACAAATAGAAAATCAAGTAAAGAAGATATAGAAATTTTCAAAAAATTCCAAAGAGAGTACAAACTCTAATCCCACCATTTCCCAGACAAGCTGTATTTTACCTGTGTTCAGGCTGTCTATCTCTTCGTTTTCCTCTTCCTCCTCTTTTTTCTCTTCTGGTGTCTGGTCTTCCTCATTTTTATCTGCATCTTTAGTGTCCTGCTCTCCCAGTGTCTCAATCTGCTCCTCAGGTGACTCCTCTTCATCTTCACTCTCATTTTTATCTGCATCTTTAGTGTCCTGCTCTCCCAGTGTCTCAATCTGCTCCTCAGGTGACTCCTCTTCATCTTCACTCTCATTTTTATCTGCATCTTTAGTGTCCTGCTCTCCCAGTGTCTCAATCTGCTCCTCAGGTGACTCCTCTTCATCTTCACTCTCATTTTTCAGTATCTGACTTTTCTCCTTTTCTTCTTGGGTTTGTAAGGATTTCTGGCTCTGTACTTCTGTGTCTGTTTCATCAGCTTTGCTGTTAGCGTTTTCTTCTACTTCATCTGCATTTTCGCTGTTTTTCTCATTTTTTTCAAGTTCTCCATTTGTACTTCCTGTGTCGTCTTTGTTTTTTTCTGTTATAGCAGATTGCGGACTTTCCTTCAAAAGTTTTTGTCCTTCATGAGTTTCACCTGCATTCTCCAATTCACTCTCCTGATCCCATTGTTCATCAGCAATAGATTCTTTAAGAGCAGTAAGTCTGGTACGGCAAGGGAGTGTGGCTTCAGATGAACCTAAAAATAAACCACTCAGAGACCTTAACAACAGATCCAAGCGTCAACATTGAAAGACATTCATTCTCAATAAGAGCTGAGAGTTTATAGTGATATTTAGCAACATGTGCAACAAATCTGATGTCAGCATGTCTAATTACAATGTTATTACTAATAATGGCAAAAATAGTAAATCTTTTGTTACCTGGCATAGCCTCCGTTGGTACATTTCTCAACAGGTTATTGCATTCACCTACATTAGTAGAAAACATTTTTGTATATAACAAAAATATATATAACTTTAGTTTTGTAGAAATAGTAGAAGTAGAAAGCAAAGAAGAAATATACATTTTCAAAAATTCTTATCTTACCATTTTCAAGGTCCATTTCTTTTAGTCCAGACTTCCCTACTTCTCGTGCATGTACATGACAAAAAGAAAATTATGATAATCTATGTAATATAATCTTTGTGAGACATGGGTGTTAATTAAAGATGCATCTTGAAGGTGATATGTTGAATATTTTTTCATGGCACTTACGCTTTTGTTTTTTACGTCTGTAGAGGTAAAATGCCAGCACAGCAAGCAGAATAATGAGAAGCACTGTTACTATTACGACTGGAACAAGCACAGCAGGGCTTTCTCTGCCTGCAACCAAAACCATTCAAGAAACAGCTTAAAGCATCTACCATCAAAGTCTCAAGGTACTGTGTTGAATGATTTACTAGCTCACCTGTGTGGCAGTCTTGCAGAGTGAAGTCTGTGGTCCTGCTTCCAGCTTTATTCTTCACAGTGCAGGTATAGACTGAGTTATGGTTTACCTCCTGTTCATTAACAAGAAGTGTTGGTCCCAGCTGTTTTATATTAGGTCCACTCCATTCATAGCTTGGCTGAGTCTGGGATACCACTGAACAGGACAGTTTATTAAAATTCGAAGTCTCATCCAGTTCACAGGCCACCTGAGGCTCCGGCAGAGCATCTAAGACACAGAAGCAGGCAGGTATTTAATGATAATAGGTCATTTTTAGATTATAAATCAACAATTACCTTTTCAGTGACTAATGTACTTTCTGTGATTTAAACCATTTTAGTGTAATGTATTGTGTAAATTGAAATACAGCTGATTTACACAATTCTCATTTCATACCACTTTCATACTAGCCACTGAAAAACCCATATCAGTTGACAATTAGATACAACACCTAAACTTTATGAATCCCACCATACAGTAGGTCTAAAAGCATGCTGGTCATGTCTCCACTTTATAATGAAAATTATTTTTACACAGAATTTAGGAAATCAAACAGTTCCTGATATATACAGTAAGTGGTCTATTCACAATAATCTACTGTAGGAGACTACTAGGCACTAATCTGCACATAATCATCTGAGATATATAGATAGCTTACCCAAAACTGTCAGATTATGACTGGCGATTTGAGCATTCCTATTGATCCAAATTTCAGACTGATATTTGCCACTGTCTTGGCTGTTTAGTTTTCTTATTGTGAGCTGTCCTGTTTCAAAATCAAGATCTACACGGTCTTTAAACGAGCCATATTTCGCCACCTCACTCCCATCATATTCCAGAACCTTGTTGCCATTATGTGTCCACAGTATTTCTTCAGGCTTTCCACGGATGCTTGGAGTAAGTGTGATCTTGTTTCCACTTTCGCCATAGTTATCGCAAAAAACCAAATCTAAAGAAGCAGATGAATAAAATCCCATTAGTGAAACAACGTCTTACACCCTGTGGGGGAATCTCAGAAAAAAACATATCCGGGCCATATATCACAATAGATTAATACAAGATTTCATATTATGCTGAAAGATTATTAAGCGTGTTTAATAATCTATAGCAAAATACACTTGGACACAGTAATGTATTGAAGTGACACTGATTGTCATTAATGTAATAAAGCAATCTCGACTGTATAACAGTAAAGGTGTTGTAATGCAATGTTTGTAATTAGTCAAATTAAACTGAATAATAAGGAAACACACACAAAATAGTTATTCCAGTTGTAAATAATCAAATTGCGCAAACTTAATATCGAAGTTAATATCCTTAATGGCATTTGATCTTCGTTTTGCAAAACATAGGCTAATTACTTATTTAATTATTTTAATTTGGGGGTTAAATATGACCTGGACATGTTCTTAGTTTGTTTCGTTAAATCAACAAGTCGCCACCCACAACAAACATAATATTGCCAACAAACAACAAATCAGTTTTTCTTAATCAGGTTTTATATGCTTTATGTATCTGTACAAAAGATCACAGAACAACTTCAGTCTAAAGTTCAGTGAAAGTCCCTAACTCAAAGAGAGAATGCAGCAAAGTTTATACACGTTCAACATTTAATCTTGTTATTCTGGCTTCAACAATGCCTTAATGTTACTTCACCTCCGCTCCATGTTTAAAAAGATTTCGGACTTACCTTGAGACAAACAGAAACATGTAACGTAAACCGAAAACTTCATAAGTGCCATCTTCTCTCGAGAGTGTTTCTTCTGTGTGTGAGGTGCTACTTAATGGCGATTTGAATTGAAACGTTAAACACATTTGCTGCATGAGTCTCGACAGTCGAGGCTAAAAACCAGGACAATTAAACATTCAAAAGTTGCCACAGTGTTTTGAGGCAGTGAGAAAAGAAAGTCAAAAACCCCCGACGAAAAGTACCGAGCGACCTTTGAAATAGGCGGAGATAGAAGGTGATGAACGCACCTTTACAAGCGGGGTTAAGCTAGTTTTGTTTTCGATATTCGTGACACATTCAGAGATAAATGGCAATAACTCCAAAACGACTTGCCCTAAAAAAATAATGTGACCGCGAAAAGGGCAAAGCTGATCATGTTTCACAGCCTTCTTTTCATAATTTTGCCGTCGCAATGTGCATTAAATTTCGGTAAGGGACCGTGGGGAAAGTGCCAATTTTCTTCGTTTTTTGCTATGCCTCAGTGGGCGGTGTTTTTGTAATAGCTTTTTAGTTAAAGGGCCTGCAGACATGAGACCAGTGTCAATCAATAGAGGGGGACAGGGGACACCTTTCACAACCTTTCATTGTACCCCTACTGGTAGAAAAAGGAATTGCATGTCCAAAATGAACCTTCTTTTTGTAATAACTTTTTACACCAGGGAGTCAAAGACATGAAACCAGTGTCAATCAATAGAGGGGGACAGTGGACATCTTTCACAACCTTTCATTTTACCCCAAGTTGATAATTAGGGAATTGCATGTCCAAAATTAACCTTCTTTTTGTAATAACTTTTTACACCAGGGAGTCAAAGACATGAGACCAGTGTCAATCAATAGAGGGGGACAGTAGACAATTTTTCACAACCTTCCATTTTGGTACAAAAGGGAATTGCATGTCCAACATTTTTTTGTTTTTTGTAATAACTTTCGTCAGCGGAAAGATAGAGACTTGAGACCAGTGTCAGTCAATAGAGGGGAACAGTGGACATTTTTCACAACCTTTCATTTTAGGGAATGTTTAGGGAATTTCATGTCCAAAATTACAAACTTTTTGTAATAGAGTTTTCTATCAGGGAGACAGAGACATTAATCCAGTGTCAATCAATAGAGAAAAACAGTGGGCATCTTTTACAACCTGTCTTTTTACCCCTACTGGTGGCAAGTGGGATTGCATGTCCACAATGAAAACTTTTTGGTGAGATATTTTTTATTCAGGGAGACTGAGACTCGAAGTGTCAATCAATAGAGGGGGACAATTGACATGCATCAACCTCTCTTTTTCTTTTAAAATACCTAAATATCACATTTGGACTGTGTTACTTAATTATAGATTTGGAGTACTCAAAACTCAAATACAACTTTAGCAGACTTGGAGTTGTCATGCACTCTAATGCATTTTCACTCAGACTTGAGCCTTTGGCTTTGGGACTCAAAAAATACTTACGTCACTGACCAGATGCTTTGTTACAAAAGAGACATTCAGATTTCACATGTGTTTTTAAGTCTTGACATTACTTGCTCACAGAATTTTCCTCTCAGTGTGTGAATGCCAAATTAAGTAATTTTTTGTATGTTCTTACTACACGCTCAAATACACAAAAAGTTATGTCAAAATGCCCGTCTTGGAGAGTATCCATGTAAATGCAGTCGGTTATGTCATAGGTGAACCTAAACAGTTAGGAGAAATACAGATGTGTTCAAATATTTGATCCGTGCATCAGGTCTTAAAGCGACAGCAGCGTAAAATCTGCTGCCGCCGACTGTGTTGATAATGTTAATCAAACCAAAAAAATAAGAAAATCACTCACTGCTCTTATCTGAATCACTTTAGTAACTTTATTTAATACATACCATAGACTGTAAAAAAAAATGTTAATCCTGCAGACAGATGTAGCTTTGCACAATACCAGCATCTACAATGATTTTGATCAGCATTTGTTCATAGCAGAGGACTCTATCAATACATGGTACTGACCTTAAACAAATCCTCGCATATAACGTTGAAGAATGCAAAAATAGTTAAACGTGATTTGTTAGTTATGATTTATAAGACATATGATCAGTTGTTAATATAGTGAGTAAGTAATGTTTAACAGCTCATTAAAATGCAAATAAAATTATTTATGATTTTGTACATCTAAAATATAGTTATCTTAATAACTCTTTTCCTTTTTACAAATTGTACATGTTGAAAACTAAAAATTCTAAACAATAAAAAAAAAACAATATTGTCACCTGTTTTAAAATATGGATTATTACTAGATCATGCAATGCTAAATAAAAAATGACAATTTATGACCCAGCTAATTAATTAATGATCTAGTTTCACTATGGAATTTCTTGCATAATGAAGATATATTCATATTCAGAACATTTGTGGTAATATAGAGTCTTAGAAGTGTTTTCTATTGCTTTTTAAAACTATCAATTGAAAGCCAATATATCTCTGATTGATTTAACTTCATCTACCTAGTCATGATCAATATTGTCAACACCAAGAGCTTTCTCTCAATTACACCAGATATGTACAATACCACTGGGATCCACTGAATAAAAATGAAAATACAATTTTGAAATAAGGTGTTGCGTATAAGTCAATTTTAACACACACACACACACGTTGGGTATTAAGGTATTATGGTGATATTCAATAGGCATATATTCCAAACTGTATATTCTGTCCCACTACATTACATTAACCTACCCATCACACAAAACTTTCTGCATTTTTACATTCTCAGAAAATATAAATCTGTATGATTTTTATGCTTGTTTCCTCATAGGGACAAAAAATTTCCCAACAAAGTCAAAATTTTAATACCTCTGGGGACATTTGGACCCCATAACTTAGGGAATACCAGTATAACACATTGCACACACACACAAAGTGATTGTAATAATAATAAGAAGAAGAATACAATAAATAAAAACATTACATGACTTGAGGGCACTTGAAGAAAAAAATAAACCTTAAGGTAGGCCCTATTTTCAAAAACTGCCTCCCTCCAAATCATGTTCTGCCACACTTTAACCTTGTTGAATTACAGGATTTTTTTTCTGGTAAACATGTAAGACCCTTACTGCTTGTAAGCAAATTTACCACAGAATATGGCAGCACAGCCCAGTACTCCACACTTCTTTAAAACCTTTTAATGCATTTCTTGTTAAACTGCTTTGAAATAATATGTATTGTGAAAAGAGCTATAAAAATAAATGTGAATTAATCCACACAGAGCTGGGAGTAGTAATGTTTCTATTTAGCACCTAAGCATCCCGAGGAACACTTTTATGCTGAAATGGTTCTTGGTGTTAGAATTTAGGGTTCCTTAATCCAGACCTTTGGTTTTACAAATCTGTAACTGTCAAAGCACCTCATTACTGATTTTCTGGAGCTCAGCAATCCACCTACACAGAGTCTCAACACAATCCCAACAGGTAAATGATTTCATTCTAAAATGTAAATACAGTTTTATCTTTAAAATTGTAAATGGTTTCCAAACAAACATGTTATTTCCTATTTTTACAAACCCAATTCCAAAAAAGTTGGGACACTGTACAAATTGTGAGTAAATAATTAATTCTGAAATCATATACATGGTTAACCATATAATATTCTGACATTAATCAGTGGTTCTTCTAGACCACCTTTGTCTAGACGCCGACAGCTGATAGCTTCGTACAACTTAATTAACACTCAAAGTATTAATCAGCGGTTCTTCTAGACACCCTTTTGCTGTAATCCTTTAAATACAAAACCAAGATAAGACATCCTCCAAATGGATACGTGTAATTTACATTAACCCAGGTCCCAGACCTGGGTGGTCGACACCTTAATGGGAACAAAAGGTAATTTGCATGTAGTGACCCTCTACAGTAATCAAAGTATATTTTAACTCTTAGGATCTGGATTATCTTTTGGTAAGATTACGACCATTGTACCACTCGCCCTGAAACTATTCAAATGAAACCAAACATGACTGTAAATCTTATTTGCATTCATATAGAACATTATATTCTTGACCATTCTGAGTGAGCTGGGTGAAATTCCCTTTTCTAACAGTAGGTGTAAAATGGAAGGTTGTGAAAAATGTCCACTGTCCCCCTCTATTGAATGACATTGGCCTCATGTCTCTATCTAATTGTTTACGAAAGTTGTTACAAAAGAAGGTTAATTTTGGACATGCAATTCCCTTTTCTACCAGTAGGGGTAAATGGAAGGTTGTGAAATATGTCCCCTGTCCCCCTCTATTGATTGACAATGGTCTCATGCCTCTGTCTCCCTGATGTAAAAAGTTGTTACAAAAGAAGGTTAATTTTGGACATGCAATTCCCTTTTCTACCAGTAGGGGTAAAATTGAAGGTTGTGAAAGATGTCCACTGTCCCCCTCTATTGATTGACACTAGTCTCATTCGTGTCACGAATATCGAAAACAAAACTAACTAGCAGCGACGCAAGCAGTGAACAATCAGGCTCCTGTTCTTGCTGGTGTGTTTTGGTACTTCTTCCATGGTAATATTCAATCGACTAGGAAATATCACACACACACACACACACACACACACACACACACACACACACACACACACACACATGTCTGGTCAGCTATCCTTGTGGGGACTCTCCATAGGCGTAATGGTTTTTATACTGTACAGACCGTATTTTCTATCACCCTACACCAACCCTACCCCTAAACCTACCCCTCACAGGAGACTTTCTGCATTTTTAGATTTTCAAAAAAACTCATTCTGAATGATTTATAAGCCTTTTGAATTAAACACTGACACTGAAAATGTCCTCATAAATCACCTTCTCGTTGTAATACCTATGTCACACCCATGTTATTATATAAATTTGTGTCCTCATAAACCACATAAACACACACACACACAAATGCATTATTAGCGAATAACAAATCTGTCCGATTGAGAACCTGCTGTTTGTTGGCAGTGATTTGAAAAGAATATCCTCATTTTAAAAATTAAAGTATAGGCTATTATAAAATATTTTGAAATTTGTATGAACCCTTTAAAGAGCAGCCCTCCACGTACATGAAAATGTGTGAGGTATGTGAATGTCATGTCTGTTTTCATATTTCAGTAAAGAAGTAGCTTTCTGAAAGCAATATATTTATTTAAACAATATTACATCACACTAGTGCTGCCATTACAGAGACATTAAACAAGCAAGTGGTTGAAATGATAAAACAGACTAGTTACCTATCCTTACTGATGTGGATGCACCTCTATCTGAAAATGGATAGATTTTAATTAAATGTTTTCTTTTTTCAAATGATTTTCTCTTTTTAGGCCACTGATGAAGAACAGGCGGTGACTGGGATGAATGCTGGTCAAAGAGGAGAATGTCCTTTCCCCCAAACTGATGCAACTGGTTTTAAAGGAGGAG